CCTTCCGCCTTTTATATCTTCCCCTATCCTTCTCTCTCTCTCTCTCTCTCTCTCGCTCTTTCTCTTTCTCTCTCTCTCTCTCTCTGTACTGCCTCTTGACTATACCCTTCAGCTCATTTCCGCCCACGTGTACTTAATAACGGTCACAGGGAAGAACCAATGCGAAAAGAAAGTAATCGTGGTTTCAATTTCAGAATTTATTTATTAAAATTATTGTGGTTTAATCAGCAAAATTATTTTTAATTATTATTTTACATTGTTATTAATTATTATTATTGCAATCACATTTCTAGTTTCTATTTTGAGAAGTGTAAATATTACATTCACTATTTCGTAGGTACAAAGTGATAGATCGCAGTGGTTAAGTCAGTTTGCAAATCGATCTCGTACAGTGTAAGTCAAGCGAGGCGAACTGTGAATCACGATTATGAATGGTAAAATTTCCAGAATATATGCGGGGATGAACGACGACGACAATGATGACGCGGTTGATCGAGAACGTGAGATGGCCATCACATACTCAATTTTCTAAAGGTTTCATAACATCCGTCTTTCAAGGAGGACGCGGTGCCGCACCCTTCTGTCCTATTTCAGATTCTCGAAGGCTAATTTTCCTGACAGAGACATTTTCGTTGGTCCAGTCCGGCTTTCTCTGCATCCTCGACCACTGCTGTCTTTTCCATTTCACCCTCTCGATAGATCGTAAGACCTACGGGAAAGAGGGGCGTAGGAAAGGAGAACTAAATCAATGTAGGACATTTATATTGGCTGGAAATCGCTGACTCTCCACGGACGACTGTGGACATCCGAACGGGACATATTAAGATTTCTGATCCGCCGTGTCGACCGCGGCGACATTTTTATCATTGCGTGTCCTTTCCTTTCCTGCACGTCCTGCCGCGAGGAGGAAATAAAACGTGAATTATTGTCCATGCGGTGTCTCTCTCTCTTGCCGCTCCGCACGTGCTTCAGCTCCCAGTCTCTACAGACCCGGGTTAAAGTGGCCGTTATGGTTTTCGGTGAATAATTTAATGGCCCGTTTAGTGATGTCGGCTCGTGAATATCGAACGACATCTCGATACGCTTAGCAAACATTTTTGTCCGTTCAACCGAATTTCGCATCCATCGCTAACCGAGAAAATTCAAGTAAACTTATAGCGATTAAACACTAATCTGTATAAATAGTGAGTGACCCCTAGTCTGCCCGTTAAAAATATTAAATAACTTAAATTTTTTTATTAACAAATTATTTCTATCATGCACTTTGTTCACAGTTTATTGATTAATTTTTGTTTTGAAAGTTGTTTAAATTCATTTATTTCCTATTGTGATCTCATTTGTTACGACTATAAAGAATAAGAAGAAGAGCGACAATTAAAAGAGAGGAAAGAAACATGATGTACAAATCGGTCATTGCCAAAGTTCCATGTTCGATCGCGGGTGTCAAAGCAATTCATTTAAATTAATAGGACCAGAGTCCGTACAGCGCAGCTTATCAGCCGATTAGTACCAGTTTTAATCTCCCTCTCTTGATCGGAGAGATGTTCTTATTTGTAAGGTCGTTATCGACCGGTTTTGCTGATAAAGCTCAATACTTTTATCGGATCATGATTATTCCTCTATCTCTCCCAGATATTCCGGTACCAGCGTTGCACACTCTCGAAAACGATTTCATGTCGTTTTGTCAGCAATAGTGTTCATTCCTTTTTCTCTGTCCCTGTTCTATGTTGTATCATATCAATCAAAAAAGAAGAACAACAGAGATGGAACGAATGCATGTTTTCTATCCGCGTTACGATCGAAATCCGCGAACGTTATAGAGTTATATCTTCCTACAATAAACCATTACCTAAGTTTTAAATCTAAAATCATAAGAAATTGACCTATCATAGTCGATTATTCTTCTCACATTCGAATCACGTGATGGGTCAATTTCTTACGACTTGAGACTTAAAGCATAGGTAAAGGTTTATTGTAGAAAATCTACAATAGATTGACCATCAATCGTTTGTGCCTCCTCGAGTCAATCAATTTCCAGTTGCTCCACGACGAATGGAAATGTACTCTTGTAAAACGCGCGTTCAAGAGTCACTAGCGATTCAAACCAGAAGACTAGAGATCCTCAAGTGGCATCTACAATGAGATTTTAAGGTGTAAAACTTAAATTTAATCTTTAAGTAAGAAATTGATCAATTACAGCCAAAGAGGAAAACAATCAACTATGATTGGTCAATTTCTCATGGCTTAAAGCTCAAGTTTTACGCCTTAAGATTTCATTGTAGACATCGCTTAAGAGATTGGACACCATACATTTGATTCGCCATATTTTACAGAATCTACTCAAGATAAAATGAGATAGGTTATGCATAAGATAGAAAGAGATATCCGCGCATCTCATTTTATCCTAAGATATCATCTATCTCATTCTATCCTAAGCATGGAAAAATATGGTGTACCAAAAGAAGTTGTGTCTAAACGATGTTCAATCTCTTTCTTGGGGATCTCTATCCCGGGCTTATCGTCCATGCGGCACGGAGATATTACTCCGAGGAGAGGATCCCTCCGCGTCGTTTCTTTCGCGAAATCGCGCTTCCATGCACGATGATTGGATCGCGCGTCACTCCCACCTCGACCACGCGCTCTCGATCGACGTTGGTGAACGCGCGATACCGCGGCCGACAGTCGCGCGTAGTCGGCCGCATCGCTCGGTATTGTTTCACGTCAAATCGAATCGAGTCTCATCGTTGCCACACAGTCTGAATTCGCACGTGGTTTCACGACTATCGATCTATCGCGAGAGTCCCCACGCGGCACTCCGCGCGTAAACGTAGTTGCGAAGTTCCGGCGTCGGCAAAGTTGTACGATTCTTTCATGGCCCAGAGAAGGCGTTAAATTTCGGCCTGACGCCCCATAATCCTCGCGTTAGCAGCCGAAGTTTATTCTACTACCGCCTTCGCGCGAAGCGGAGCGCGCGGCACTTTTCGACGTGTTGGAAAAGCGGGACGAGAGAGAGAGAGAGAGAAAAAGAGAGCGAAACGGGAGGGCGAAAGAAGACCGGCATCGTGCGCGAAAGTTTTCGGCACGGTGCAAGCGGATAAGGCAGTGCCGTGGAATATTTTAACATATATCACGACGAGAGAGAAAGAGAAGAGAAATTGGGACGAGGGGTTGTTATAGCGCGCGATTGCTGTCTCCCTCTCTTTCCTCTTTACTTGGCCAGCTCCTCTTCCGTTTCGTCTTCCTCTCTCGTTTTCGCACGGCAACTCTCTTCCGTTCGTCGTCGGATCTATGTACCTTTGTGGTGGTGATGTGCCGTTCTGTATAACGTGACCCGTGTGATAGGACAGAGTCGGTGTATCGTTCGAATCAACGCTCACATACCTCCGACCGCCAACATGTTTGTCTGTCACACGGACTACGGCAGCTATAAAATGGTAAATTTACCGAAAACGCGGACTACGCAAAGTCTCTCGATTGTATCCGTACCTTTGGTATAACCAGAACGATCGATAGATCTCCGTTTCTGTCGCGTGCACTCTCTGTGCATCATCCTCTTACATTGTTTTTTTCATCCCGAAGCTCTCGTGTCTATCTTGGTTCAAGGAAAGGGATATGGAAGGGAAAGGGATATGGAAGGGAAAGGGAGCGCTAACCATAAATCTATAACTTGGAACTGAGAGCACGAATGTGTTCTGTATGTAACTCGCAGTTCGCATAATCCGTCTTCGGTCCGCGACTCTTCTCGAGGAGGAGAACATTTCCCGATCTATGTAGTTCTCTCGGAGAAACGTCCATAATGGATGAGTAATCAAGTTATATTGGGTAACACCGTTTGTTCCGATAGCGCGCTTTATCCTTCATTTAAATGATTGGAGTGCAATATCGGATTAGACAATCGAAGATTTCACTGCAAATTCAAATGTGTATAAAAAGTGTATAAAGTTTGTTATGTATACGTTGTATGTACGTTATTTAGTATTCCGTGTAAAAATGATACTATACTACATGTTTAAATGTGTAAATCCATATTTGTATGCAGTATAGTGTTATTTTTGCGGAAAACTAATCACTTGATTTTGCAGTGTTTTTATTATGGAACTACTTCCACTTTATTATCAGCATCTTGCCTTACATTCGACATCTCTATATTAACGAGTTCCCAAATTCAACGAGCTTCTAATAATTATTTTTATGGACGTCGTACTTTCTGACCTTCAACACGTTCTAAAAATTGAAGCACTGTATATCTACCGAGTAAATCTAGTGTCGCTGAGACAACGCGTTTATCACTGGCATTTTTAACACATAAAGTCTGAGTTTAACGATTTTTTTTTATGAAGAATAAAATTATCACAGCGCAACGCGACGAATGTCGTTAAATCAGATCTTCTACTCGTCCCTGTGAAGATTGATGATGTTAATTAGATCGAGGAGGACGACCTAATCTTAGATTTTTATTGATGTCCCCGTTGCGCAAGGATAACCGTGTGTATGTATACGTATGTGTGTAACCATTTAATGACTCCATCATACCGATTTTCTCTCTCTAGAAGCGCACGTTCCTCTTTCGCTTTCGTCTATGTCGCTGAATTAATGATTATTCTCGCTACGAGCCACGACGTTGCTTGATGTCGTAATAGTCGACCGGGTCTATCGTAAGATCGATGGAGAGATGCGCTACAATACAATGCACAAAGATGTCGCAAGAAATGCAACATCATGCTGGTGTCCGCCTGATAGCTGGTGGTGGACTCCGTGTGTCGTTGAAATTACAGCGTAATTTTTCGCATTATACGAAATGCTGAAACGCCGACAAAGTCGATGAAAAGTTTCGCGGCAAACATCACGACGAAGAAAATTATATGCGCGGCATTTCCGTTTGTCGCTGCATGTTGATTCGCGAGTTAATCGGTCGAATCATAGGATTTCTTCGTTTTTTTTTTAAAGCCTTTTATATTTAATAATGAATTCTTAATTAAATTACTTCTTCTCTGTTGCAGTATGGCTCGGATGAATTCGGACAGGACTCGCCGAGATACACGTCGCCGAAGGGTGCCCTTTACGCGGATTCCTATTACATCGGTAAATAAATAAAAAATAAGAATTATTAAAAATAAGAAAAATCAAAATCTCGTTTTTTTTTTATTTCAAAAGTGACACAATTAACAAAAATGTAATTTTTTAAATTATTACCATGAATGAGTTTGGTAAAAATAATTCTCTTAATCATCAAAAGTAGATTTAACTGCACATTCCATCTTTGTTAAAAGAGAACTTAAGTTTTTAAGAAGAATAAGATTTTACAATTTAAATGTAAACTGTGATATTTTATGTAATTTTTGATTGATTATTCCAGATTTGTTACAATTTTGTAGAATACGAATTAAAATCATTACAATTCAAAAAGAGTTTTTAAGGGTTGTAAAATAAAAGTGACGTAATATGATTATGGTTTTAAGAGTATATTTTTTGCTAATATTAATATTTGATTAATGAATAATTTTCTGTTAAGATAAAAAGGAGTTTTTTCTCTTTTCTAAAAAGACCTGGTTTTTTTTCGTTTTATCACTTTTTTTTAAGAGTACGATCTATACTTTAGTTTTACTAACTCCGATAAAAATAAAATGGAATTTTATTGAATGAATCATTGCATCCTTGATATCTCTCCGGGCAAACAGACATCACGTAGATTAAGAACGAAATTAGAGCGCGTGGTAACAAACTCGTTATCGTTACTAATTTCACGAAAGTAGTTATGAAATAGATTACTGACTTATATCTGTTAATAATCGATATCAGCGGACATGGATGTAATTAAACGAGATAGTGCGAACCTCCTGGTGGGTTCGATAGATCGATGGTTATCTGCGAATCGGCAGCCATCGGCATAGGCGCGGGTATGTGTACGTACGTCGCGTACGTATACGTACGTATATATCATTTGGAAATCGCATAACGATCTGAATAGACGATAAAAGGAATTTTACGAGCGCACTAATATTCAACTGTTTAACGTTCGCTCGTAAAATTTTGCCGTTCTGCCTGTCGCGCGTAAAAACAATAACAATCTCGTTATTTGTTCAAGCGGCGTGGCGGGGCATTGAAGTTCGTCGCTGGATTTCGCGGATATATCCGGCACACCGCTGTCGAAAAAAAATTCCACGGAAAACTTCGTCGACGAGATATTGCCAATAAAAGCAATTCTTCGTTGCTTGCTTCGCTACCGGCCACTGCGAATGTTACTTTGTTGTTGCAATGAACATTTATTGAAGCGCTGGCGTCTTAGAATCACTATTTTAGTAATTTTTCGTCGCTCGCAAAAGTCGCTTTTCTTTGATGTGCTCAATCTCTTACGTCATACTCCGTAATATTGATTTGTTGCTTTAAAATTAATTTAACGCGCAGAATTGTTTCACATAGGAACAATTATTATGTCGAATTATTATGTGAATTGCTCCATTAGTTGGAACTACTGCTGATTTTTATGGAGCTGTAATCGTTTTACGGAGTAAATTTTATTTTAGATTATAACGGTCTTTGAAAAATTATCATTAAGACAAAGTGCGATGTACCATCACGCTCTATGCTTCGCGGATATTCGTCGCTGCTCTTCAGACTCGTGCAAGAAATCGTTGGAAATTGTATACAAAACTTAATAAAACTCCGGTCGATAATATGAAATTTTCACCCTTCGTTCGTTTGAATCTTCAAACTTCAATACAGATTTTTATATTGTTCTTATATTGTTCCGTTATAAAGATTTAAAAAAAAGTTATATAAGTTTGTGAAAGCTTTTTGATAATAAATTTTTACACAGAAGTTAGATTGTATTTTACTTATTTTTTATTGATTTAAATTTATCTACTAGAATTTACAATCAAAAAATCAATTGTATTTTTAAAGTCCAATGTTGCCGGTGAAGGATTAACATTTAAGTAAAAATAACAAAGGATTTATTTGATTAAATCCTAAATAACGTGTAAAAGAATGCAAAGCACAAGTAATTATAAAAAAGTCACGTTAATGAACCAAATGATCCGTAGAAAAATTTTGCATATTTAAATATGCAAATATTTTAGATGATCTTTACACGATGATATATCTATGAAATCGACGAAGTTTTCACCGCAGGGCTCGTTGTTATGGATCAGATGAGAAAAGTAGCAGTTTAAGTACGCTTTCGAAATACGTGTCGGCGCTCGTGGCACTCGGTAGCTGACCGGAATGGCTTATAAATGGGAGGCCACGACGAGGGGGGTGAAAAAGTTTTATCAGACATCGAACACCGGTAGTTGGTAGGAACGCCCGAGTAGTTTGGCTTAGTTTCCGTTTTCTCGTCGAGGAGTGCCCGGTACGGGAATTATATCAAGCAAAAGTATCAAGAAATACGTTCCCGAAGCTTATTGCTGTTGTTTTCAACTGAAATAATAGTCCGCGCCAGTACCGCGTCTATTGGCTCTTATACCGGGTGTGTGTGCGGTTCCACCGCAAACGACACCCGGGAACCGAGTGAGACGTTGGAAAGCGCGAAATTTCGACTTGGCGAAAGTCCAGGGAAGTTGTATCATACCGCGGACTCGTTCTCGAAATAATTACTGCGGAAGGAATGACATCGCCGCTTGATTAGGAAGTTTGGCGCGGCGCTTGTTCGCAGCGGAACGTTGCCGTTGTGTTAATCGACCAAAATTATATAAACATTATGAAGTGCAAGGCATCCCTGACGAGAGGAAAATTCGATTAAATGCTGCGAGGATGCATTTTAATTCGATTTGGACGCCCATTATCTGGGCACGTGCGCGACATTCTACGCTCGCTGAGTGGAGAACGCCACGTGCTCTATTATTTATTATTTCCCGCTCCAATGACGTAGAAAGTGCTCGGGGTAGTCGACGAGATTCTATTCTACATTGCGATACTTCAATTACATCGAACGAGAAAGAATTTTTACGAACACGACGAGTGGATGTCGTGTTCAAAAGGAAGCACGTTCCGAAGGTATCTAATAATGCGTCGCGCAAAATTCTTATTTATTACTCCATAATCTATATTATCGAGATATTCTGAAATTTCCTTTTTATAAACACGTGGTTGCTCTGAATTGATTATTTAGATCTCGAATATTCGAATAATAATAGGATGACACATGATTGATCGAAACCGCGTCTCTCTCTCTTGTTGCAGATGGTAATACTACAGGAACCGGTCCCGGCGACCCGTGGACGGGTAGCGGCGGTGGTGTCCAACCCCCATATAGTGGATATGCACCCTCTCACCTGGCGCAGCCAGCCTATCCCATGCACCTACCCCACGACCCCATGGTAAGTGATTTCTCCTACCCCCCCCTCTCTCTCTCTCTTTTTCTCTCTCGCATTCTCTCATTTCTATCCCGACTATACCCTTGCCACGGCCGAATCCGAAGAAACGATCAATCACGCGTGACTCGACTGCTAGTTCCTACGGAGCCGCCGTCGCGAAAACGACGTCTCTGGAACTTCGTAATAGACACAGGGATATTTCTTCTTCCATATTCTCTGTACGTGAGTTCGGTGAGGAAGTCGACAGATTAAAACCTAAGCGGGCGACCTAATCTTGGTGCTACGGAAGATCGATGTGTCTCCCGAGCAGCTTTGGTGATTCTCTCTCTCTCTCTCTCTCTCTCTCTCTCTCTCTCTCTCTCTCTCTCTCTCTCTCTCTGTTTCAAAAATCGATGAGGTCCGACGAAACCTCGATTGCGTAAAATTGACGTATAAAATTGAATTCGATGATGAAAGATCGATTCTTTGTACCGGAGAACTCGAACGCCGTAATTTCACTACGAACTCTCACATATCGCGAATTTCGTTAATTCGCGAACTTTTACTCCATCGACGTCGTTGTACATCGAAACGGACGGATGGCTGCTCAAGATGCACTCTTCTCAGACGAAATTCCGAGAAATGCGGGATTCTCGACGTTCTCAACGATTCTCGATCGAAAGAACATCTAATACAAATATACGAACTTTTCAGAGATTTATCGTATCGTTTAATGGCTTTCCACGGAACGTGATAAATTCCTAAATGCTAAATCTCGCCGACAGTCTCGGCGATTCATGAATTCACGCGAAGCACCGAGGGTCGTCTCGAGGACGAGTCGCGCGTCGTTTCTCGGTCGGCCATTACTCTTCAACCAACCGACGTCGGCTCTAATCCTCTTCGTCAACCATCGTGATCCAGCGGACCAGCTGGTGGTCTCTTCTAGCTGTCTTATTTCGGACCACCCGGTTGATTGTCGCGTGTGCTCGAGGAGAGACGCATTCTCTCTTCGTCGGCTCGCTATGGTTGAGAGACACTGTTGACAGTGCTCCACGTACCCGGAGTAACGTCAAATGACTCACTGGCGTCTATATATAGTCCCGACCCTCCCGCTACTCCTTGTTTCTAGTCAAGTGCAGCCTTCGTTTGATTTACGCCGTTCATGGTTACCACGAAATCCTCCTCTTCGTGGCACCTCGTACCCGTCTCTCGGGCAGCCTCTCTCTCTTTGAGACAACGAGAGTAGGCTTCTGCTACCGGCATATGACGTCGTGGTCGTGATGCCTTCGGTAATCGCCGATAGCTAGCTAATAAATGGCGAGATCGCTAACGTTGATTTTATTTTTATTAAAACAACGTTCTTTTATATACATATGTATATATACAATAGATTGGAATAAACTTCCGGCGCTCTCAGATCATAAAGTCCAACTTTTAATGTAAGACAAATCATTTTATTGTCGTTCGTGTACAGCTACAGAGAGGCCTTTTGGCCTATGTGATATGACAAGAAATAACGTAAAGTAAATATCAATGTTGTACGATTTAAGATGAATGCGCCTAAGAAGGATAGAGTTAAATGTCACGAAGATTTTTTTTGGTTACCAAAGATTGAACATTTATGATCTTCCAATTTAATGAACCCATCTTCTGAGAACGCCATCCGCAAGTCCATCGAAAAAGAGATGTCGCTGAATGTCTTTAAGTTTTTCTAGTACATCTGTCAACATGTCGAAATCTCGGTCTCGCGACCATCTCGATATCCATCACAATGCTTCTTCATAAAAGCGTTGATTAAAGGCGACGTTTTACGTGCGGCACGTACGTCTCTGTAAGCGTCTTCCGGACACTCTAATTTGTTGATAAATACACTACGCTCCATAGACCGTCGACGGTGGCTTAAAATTAGACTTTTACGAGCAGTTTCAGTAGGTGCGAGAGAGCTCTATCCCACGCTCGGCGTATCCGATATCAAAGCTGGTCGAGGTGATCCATTATAACCAGAAAGACGCGCTTGAGGCTATCGTACAAATCGCGAGAACCACGCGGCTCCTGGAAATCACTCGGGATTCTTGTAATAGAGATCTTTATCGTTTGTAACTACATAGGATAAATCAATCCGACGTTTCGCGCACGCATGAACGCATTCGAAGAAGACAGAGCATCTCTTCTGAAATCCTGCTGAAATGCCTGACAAAGTCTTTCTATGATGAAATCCACGAAGATAGCGATTGAGACGCTTAGACTAGATCATCAAATAGAGCATAATGACTGTTGGTGTCGTTATATCTTCCTGTTTCATAAATCAGACGACGTTCCTGCGAATCTATAGAATTCCTTCTATACAACAGGGACAGATTCTGAGATTCCGACATACTGAACGCAAGTTCGATAATTAATGTTGAAGATCGCGTATTCCCACGACTTCGCCCCCAAGATGGGATTACCACAAGAACCGAGCGTCGAACCATTTGCGCTTGGCGGTTTCAGGCATACTCAGCGATGTCGCCGAATGGTGAATCTGCAGCGCCGATCCTGGGCTCGGCGGTGACCAGTGCGGCTTCCCTGCCGCCAATGTCGACATTCCGGGGTAGTGCCGCGGTCGCGGCGAACAGCGGCACAGGGGCGCCGTCGCCGGCATCGTTGCAATATAGCCATAGTCCTGGTGCACCGACGACCGCGCCTTCCGCGTCCAACACTGCGCCCACGACGAACCAGCAATCCACCACGGACGACACCCTCGGCAAGACCCTCGCATCCGTCGTGAGCACTCGAGTATGTTAAATCCGTTAAATCATTTTTTTTACGCTAATGAAGAAAAGATGATTAATAAAAAGATAAAACGTTATAAAATAATGGATATTATCCGTTAATTTGAGATAATGTTTGGACGATCTAAGTAATCTACGTAAACATCTAGAGATGTTCTTATTGAAATTTAATGTAACATTTGTTGCAACATTCGGATACATCGTACTTTACGACGCGACGTCATCACTTCGCGAATAATTCGGATCTTCGTAATATCATCGTACTTCGTAATATTATGTTACGATTGCGTCGTTATCACATTTTTCACAGATTTATCCCACGGACCAATCAGTATCCAGTTATAGCAGTAATCCATCTACACCCGTCAGTTCGCCACCACCTTTAACCGGTTCGGCACCAGGTTGGGCACCTGGAGCCGCGCCAGTATCTCCGCATTTTACGGCGGATCCTAATCGTGGTATTCATATGGTATGTATCTCGTATTTCTATGATTACTAATTACGATTGATCCGGCACAAGCTGCAAGACCTTTTCAACGTTGTCCATTTTCAAATTCTTTTAGGAATTTATTATTTTGTGATATATGGAAATCTCTCTTTAATAAATCAAACATCGTTGAAAGGTTTCTTAAACGCGTGTATAATTTTTGGCCGCTTCAGAAACATGCACGGGACAATTTTTCACTTTTACAAAGGAGCTGGAACACAACAGTTATATTTTTCCAATGATATTTCTCTATACCTACACTACATATCGACGATGTATTATCAATTATCAGTCGCGCAATTTTTATATTTCTTTGGGAAGAGGAGAGGATTGTTGCGAGCAACAGAGGAGCGGTATACAAGCGGAAATATAAAAAGAAAAAAAAAGCTGTTGTTTGTGTCATAAAGGTTAATTTTTTTTATTACGAGAGATTACAGTCGCTATTCGCACATAATCACGCAGCACTGAAGTTGTGTACAAAGTGCATGATCGCGTTTGCACCGAGAAATCACCATTTGTGTTCTTCCTTTATAAGCGACTATTTATTTATATCCTCCCCTCGCCCTTATTTGCGTACAAATTATTAAGTTTATCGTCTCTCCCGTTCATTTGGCGACACACTTTTATTCATTCCGCCCTGTTTGTTGTGAACGTTGTGTTGACTTGGTTGTTTCTCTTTTTTTTTTTGGTTTTGTTGTTGCGTTGGTGTTGTGTGTGAAGCCGGCGCCTGAACAGCAGAGGCTAGACGATGCCATCGGCTTCCTTCGCGACCACGCCGAGGTGAGGACCGCCGAATTTCAGTTTTTTTACCAACCTTCTCATTCTCTCCTTTCTTTTCCACATTCTTTACGCATGTTTACACCACGACAAATGCCACGAAATATCCATTGCACTTTTTGCTAATTACGCTTTCAATTAATTTTGATTATATATTGTGATAAGGTTTTCACATTGTGCACAATATATAATCATAGCTTGTACTTTTCCATTAACAAAACTTTCGATAATCAATCGGCATTAAACCCTTTAATCAATCTAATCGGTCAGACTCTTTTTTTACATAATACTTTTATAATTCTATTTTTCTTCCAAGATGCTTTTTCGGTTAGTCGAACTATCTCTCATGGAATTAGAAACGAAATAAAAGAATTCAATATTGATTTTCTCTCTTTGAAACTTTTCTGGAACAAACCAAGACTCTAAGGAAAATAAAAAAACGTTAGTGATACGTCTTCCTAGAATTCCTCGAATAATAATAAAGCAGTAGACAATTTCGAGCTATCGGCGCGTAATCGAGTCGCATTTTCGGTATTCTGTTGGTACAGGGAGCACGAATGGAGGAGCGGTTAGATGATGCCATAAACGTATTGAGGAATCACGCCGAAAGTCAAGTAGCCCTTCATCTTGGCCCAGTTGGTCCACACGGCGGGATATACTCGCATACCTCACCACCGCAGCTAGAACATTTGGTAAGAAACTTCGTCAATCAGTAATAAATAAAAAGTACCAGGGCAATCATGATGGATTGCTCCTTTTATTTATTTCGCGATATAATATTATGATTCTTTCAGGCGAGTCCACATCCTGCAGTAACGGTGACGCAATCTCAGGGTTCCTATCCTGGTCTTACGCCTACGCCCGACACAGATGGTTCCATCAAGATCGAAAGGTTACCTGTGACGAATGCCAGTAAGTTGAACCTGAAGTGATGTAAAGGATGAATCGTAATATAATTTGCAACATAGGAGAAATCAGATCACAATTATGACAATAATCCCTATAACAAAGGATCTTGATAGTAGTCTTTCCTCGGTTTATTCTTGCGTTAAAAATCATCCGGTGATTTTTTTCATAAGAAGAATAAGAATCGTGATTACGCGTTTACTTTACTTTTATCATGCTGTTCTATTCTTGCATCGTCGCATCATTGAGCAGTCACTTTTCCCATGAATTCCCGCGAAGGAAAGGGAAAAGGGAAGGAGCTCCCAGGTGTTCCACACAACGGACTATTCGCGGCCGAATAAGGAAATATTAGATAAATCACGCGAAGTCTTTGCTGTCCGGTGGTCGTGCCTGCATTATTCCCGTGAGTACATTCGATTATCTCACTCTTCGTTTCTCTTTCCGCCTCGTTGCGTCTGTCCCTTTCGGCCTCCCGCACTCTTAGAGTCATTATGCCGATGGAGAACATTTAGTATCCTTTTACTACGGATTAGGAGATCCTACCTATGTTAGTTTGTCGAAGGAATGCAGAACACTCTTGTGAGTTTAGAAACTATTTACGCGCTTTGTACTGTAGAAATATGTAGAGGGAAATTCATGGAACCTCTGTGATAACTTCCGTGAAAAACAGTATATCGAGAATTAAAGAATTCAAATCCTTTAAGGAAATAAGTATTCAATTGCGCAGGTAGCTGCACCATAAACATTTCGTTTGCAGTTGCAAATGCGTCATCGAGCGCAACATAAAAATGATCGCACTTTCGCACACAATCATGCGTCTGATTTATCCGCCGCGATTGTCCCGCGAAGACTTTTAAAGAGATACATTCGCGGCATACATGAGTATAATATTATTCGTAATACTCTCGCGAAAGAGAGAGAAAACATTTATTTATTGGTCTGCTGAATCAGAGTTGAGCGAAATCCCATAAAGCGCGCTTTCTGTATCTAATTGGACGCTTTCGGTTTCGTGACTAAGCCTCCTTGCCTAAAGCTCCGGGATAATCGAAGATCGTGATCACCATCTTCGGCCAAGGTCAGTCGCGTTTATTCTTTCTCCATTTCCGGATAAGTCCGTGCCATTTTTCCGCTATTACATCAGATAATCTGGTGACAATGCTCAAATGAGGCTGCTGTCATCATCATAGTCTGCTTTTGAAACTCCTTGAAGAGATATCTTTCGTCAATTAGATCGAAGAAAAGGAAATCATACACTGACATAAATTTTACCTGATTTCTTCTGTCTTGCAAATTGTATAATGTAACAATGCAATTGTCGCGGAACTTTTACGCAACAGTATCAATAATGAGCAGAATACATCCCCTTAGAAAAAAGGAAAGATCCGCCCGATAGTAGCGGCGGCGAAACGAAACCATCAAGCAGTGAACTCGCAGCGGCCGGTGTAATCGGGGCTGCTACAGTTAACTCGACGTCGCAAGGAAAAGGAACGAAGAGATCGCGTAGATAGTAAGTATCTGAAGATTTTTCGAAATAAATTTCTAAATAAATTTCTCGGAGGATTAGACATATCGAGTAACAAAAAAGATAAAAGCGATAAAATAAGAAAAGCTGCAATCGATATATACGTATTAATGTCCGTCATTTCGCTCCAAAAAAGACTCTATGGATATTAAAAATAAATAAATAAATAAATAAAACATTCTCTATATTAATTTGAGAGTTTAGTTGAAAATTAAACGAATTAATAATTAATTGGAGATGCGCTCCGATCTTTGAAAATTTATTTTTAAACTAACTTGCTGTGTCTTTGAACAACCGTTGTTCGAGCGCCGATGAAGACTGCGACGATCCTGGCACCAAAGCGGTGCGCGAGAAAGAACGTCGCCAGGCCAACAACGTGCGTGAAAGGTTAGTGAACACACGCAGTACGCACTTCGTTGCATCTTGATACAAACAATTTCTTCCGTCCTATTCTCCGTTCCAATCCCGCTAATATATACACGTCACTTACACGATGCGTATTCCCTATCGCTAAGTGTAACGTAAAAAAAAATCTGTACATTTTTCTGAGGAAAGTTCCTGACCACCTAGTCGTATGCATGCCTAAAACGAAGTGTTATTTGTGATGAGCAATAAATTGTGAGACGATTAATTCATGAACGATCGGGGGAAAACGCGCGGCATGTTTACGACTTTGTTATAACATAAGTACAAGTCCCGTAATCCTTTATATCCGTTGCACTGTATAAGGCCCGTATTCAGGCGTGATAATTAAAATGTTTCTGGTTAAGAGGACAGAAATGAGATGAGACAAGATGGAATGTTAACAGCTCTCTCGTGCGTACCTGCAAATCAGTCTCATTTTAATTCAGCTGCGATTCGGTCCCTAGGCATGCCACTTTGTTTAGAACATTCCGCACTTATTCTGCATCATTGAACGTTGCATCAAATTGCTCAATTATATAAACTTTTCTCTTTTTATCCCTACAAGCGCATTTTTTTACTACCTTTGTACAAATGAAAGAACATGTCGTATTATTTGTAAACTGATAAATCTCACTGTGTGGACATACACGTGTCACATAAATTTTTATGAGGGATTGTCATATTATTCTTCAAATAAAAATCGATCGATATCGATCTTTCAATTATATATAATCAAGTATTTCGATAATTAACTACCTTTTTTTAAATCCGCACTTTATTTTTTTATTTTATTTTATGTTTAAATCCTTTCAAATCATATCATTCTAAAAAAAAATGATAAACAATTATATAGATGTCATCTGCATTCTCTAATTTTCTAGGTCAGCATCAAAATAGAAGATCTACATTTTTCGATCCGAAAGATCACTGTCCCTTGACGTGATTATTCGCCATCGATTGTTTGTTCTGTGCAAAGAATACGGGCCTTTAAATTCGTAACCTACTTATTATCCACGATTTCAAAATTATGAAACCATCTGCGTGTGTTCATTATTATATCGCTTGTCTATTGCAATAAGAAATGTATGTATTTATATGAAATTTGCTCGAACAACAATTAGGTGATTAGACTCCAGCAAGTCAAAAGCTATTTTCTTCGCGACTATATCGCGCGCGTGTCGCTTATGTTAGTAATTCGATTGCTGTTAGATAATTTAAGCGATATAGGCTAGAGTAAGTTGTGACGTAAGCCAGGTGATTAATCGCGTATTGTTATTGCGCAACTGTTGTTCGAGCGCTGAGGACGAGGATGATGATCCCGACATGAAGGCACAAAGGGAGAAAGAGAGGCGGCAAGCAAATAATGCTAGGGAAAGGTAAGATCAATGATATACGCAGCGGACATAAAAAATATCAAATTTAATCTACAGTGATATGACAATTCTGATTAGTAGTAATGGCGGCCCGTATTCTATGTATATGTGACATAGTAATATAAGAGAATATTAAAAGTATTTCTCGATTATGATGAAAATAAATGACATAGTTCCCCATATATAATAATTTTATAAAATCGGCATGTTCTCGTACATATCTATGCATGAAAAATTTACTCCTATCACATGCTTACACAGTTGCATTTGTATTATAATAAAGAATTGTAAGATATGCACTACCACTCAAAAGTTTCAACATATTTTATGTTTCAGCTAACAATTCATATTTTTCATTTATAAAAAAATATGAAATTAATTTGATACACTCTCTTATTTTCGGATTCAGTAGAATCGTGAATTGCCGACAAATATTTATAAACTATATATAAATTATATAAACTATATAAATTGTAAATAAATTCCTCGAATAGGCAAATAAATCATGGTACTTATATTCGTATATATCAGTATAAAAAAATATATCTATTTCATGTGCGATTTAGATATTGATAAATATTTAGATATTGTGATGACTAACAATAAGAGAATAGAAATAATATATATTCTTGCAGAAATTAAGCATCAGATTAAATTCAAGTCTTTATCTTAAGACATTCAAAGAACTTGTCGGCAAAATGCCAAGATTTTGACTTCTGTTATGAAAATTCAAAGAGATTTAAGCTTGAAGAAATAAAAAAATTTGAGAAAAATATATTTATTTTTCTAGTTTTAATGAAAATATGTAATATATATTAAATTAAAGAATTATAATGCATAATATAACTATATTTATATTTTATTCTTTTCATTTCTTTTTTGATATTACGAGGTTTCCAAATGGAGAACTGAAACTTTTAAGCAGTAGTATATATGATATTGTACAATTATATTTCTCATAATTTGCTCTGCTGTATTAATTTTTTCTAAACATATACAAGAAGAATATTGCTTAATGTGATGAGTGTGTAAGTAGATGTAAAAAAATGTAATATTACAAAATTATTACATATAGTATGTAATCAAGAACTTATTCCTTTCTATTTAACATTGAAACTTAAAGAAGATGCTCTCGTATTTTAATAAGATAATTAACATAATTTCATTTTTCATCAGGATACGTATCAGGGATATCAATGAGGCTCTAAAGGAACTTGGCAGAATGTGTATGACACATCTAAAGACGGATAAACCTCAAACGAAGCTCGGTATTCTCAACATGGCTGTTGAAGTTATAATGACACTCGAACAACAAGTCAGAGGTGCATATACCAACATGCGTTTTGATTAATTGTATCATATCAATCTGTATAAATATTCGTGTGTTTAATCTATTCTTTTTTTTTATTCAGAGCGGAATCTTAATCCGAAGGCTGCGTGTTTAAAAAGAAGAGAAGAGGAGAAAGCCGAGGATGGTCCGAAATTACCAGGCCATCTTGCAGCGCACATAGCACATCCGCATTCTCATCCACACGCGCACTCCCAACCGCCCTTTCCCGCATTACCTGTAAGATTTTGTCAAAGTTAAATTCAATACAAGTAGGATTATTTTGAGATGCATAAATAAAATATACATGTTTGTTTTAGGGTCCACAACCTTCCCTTCAGCACAATCCACCACAGCCGCAGTAGCAGCGGCTCAGTGGCGGTATCATTCTGTGTTAAGGGGTAGATACATCTTAAAATCAATAAAAAAACAAGTTTATGAACATGACTTACATACCTATATAGGATTTTTCTCGGCTCTTATAAGTTGTGGGAATGTGCAAAAAATTGTGGATATTATGTGGTGCATTACATTAATAGAAGAAAGAAAAGAAGAAGAGATATGAAACACTCTCAATCGTAGTTTTAAAATATTTTGTTCGTTATTTAATATTTATATATTAATTAATATTTGTATAATTTTTTAATAATTTGAATTCGGCTTGGAAAACGTCTATCTATTGATTTAAGGATATGTACAGTGTTAAAAATGTCATGAAATTTAATGTATTTTTAAGTTACACAAATTAAATTCAATTTTATCACACTAAATTAAATGTTATGTATTTTAAACTGAAAAGTATATTTGTGTACGTGTACATGAAATTTAGTGTACTTTTCATAAAATTTTACACATTTAGCACATTTTTTTTTAAATTAAATTTTATATAGATTTGCAAAAAATTTAATACAAGTAATTAAATTCGAGTTAAATTTGAGTTACTTATAACTTCATTTTCATTGATAACATTAAATATTTTTATATACCTGCTTGAAATTTGCTTCCATTACAAAACGGTAAGCAACGGAAGCAAATTCCTTTTTTTTTAACAATGTACGTTTTGATGCTGTAGCAAAAACGACACAGGAATACCCATAATTTTTTTCACAATACTTCAATATGCAATTAATAAGGGAAGAAGTTTCCGTATGCGCTCACCCAAGCGTAGGGCAAGTAGTTTTAAGAGGCATCTACCCCCTCAAGGCGGCTTCAAATTATTTTTATAAATAGCGAAAAGAAAAAAACAAAGGAATATGGTTCCTCTTTCGAGATATATAATGTGTAGTACGATCGAAGTTTTATTAACGATCGAACTTCGCTGCTGACTCATGTTAAATTGCCCACTTCTGTGTATACACTACCGACACGGTTTATGTTAAAATAGCGCGCAATAGCTAGGAAGAGAACTCGAGCGAAAGAACTTTGGCGAAAGAACGAAGTCATTGACTAGAGATGAAAATAAAGGCAGCATATTTCCGAATTAGATAATATTTAAATATACTTTTTGATTGTATACATTAACAGAATCAGGTAAATCGTTGATTAATAATTTTACTTATTCTTAAAACATCCTATTTCAACTCTTTGAATTTAATTTTTTGTCAATTTGGCACATGAATTATGCCGCCTTTATGTTGATCATTAGACGTTGGCAATATTGTATATAGAAACTATTATTTACGAGCGTTCAGAATGTGAATTGAAGATGCTAGCGGTTCGTTCACGCTCGCGAGAACATCATTTGTAACTGGTTCGCGGTGTGATAAGAAAAGCACATTCCGATGCTTGCAGTTTCTTTTTTGACATACAGCTTGATCAAAGAAATAAAAGAAAATGAAAAAGAAAAATATCTTCGAATATATAATTTCTTACAAAATTTGTTTTTGTAAGAAAATTGAAGAAAGATAAAATGTATATGATCCGCAATGTGTCATTCATCATTTATGTATAATTCATTTATGTACATATGTAAAAAGAAGCTGCAAGAAACGTATAAATAATTATGAACGTTTCTTATAATACCGCATTGTTAAAAATACTCTTATTTTTAACATCAATACCACTATCTCAGAGAAAATAGGAAAACATGGCCGTGAAAAGACCCTACTTAACGAAGTTATATCAACATATATTTATTTTACTATTCTTCAAGTGTTTTTTACGGCTAGAATTTGATTGTATATGCCATTTAAGTGCCATTTTTATAGAACTCTCTTGATTTTAATATCGAGATGGATATTATTAATGCATTCAGTTATAGTTTATATTAAGCATAATTTGTATGCAAATCACATCTCATTTTTATTACATGCCATTTTAATTATTTCGGATTTTGTATAAAATATTTTTATAATAATCGTAGGAAAATAGCGTGAACGATCCGTGCCCAAAACCGAAAGCGTATATTGTAAGAAATAACATTATAAGAGATAACATTTGCATTATTTTCAACGAATGATTTGTTAATTACTTTATTACACTGATCGTTCGAACGATTTTTAATTTAAGAATAATGAAGGATTTTTAATTTAAGACATTTTAGGACATTCTTGAATTATACATTAATAATTTTTATGTATTATGTCTTTTATTGTCCGTGTCTCAACACGGATACAAATTGCAACTCCAAAAATGGATTGTTCCAAATATTATTGTGGCATTGAGAAAAGCATTAGGCAGTAAAAACAAGAAGTAAAAAGAAAGAATTAAGAGATCTCTCCACAATTATTGATTCAGATTGGAACGCTTTATGTTTTCGCAACAATTTGCTACAAGACATACATATATATTATCAGCAAGAATTGAAAAGCATTTATATGTGCCAAGACGTGAACATTGGACAAAATACTACATACGCTTCATGCGAAATATATCCTTGTTATGACAATGTTTACGGATGCACTTCACAAATGCGTTTTGCAGTGCTTTTCTTTCATGGTGCTGCATTGCTGGAGAAAATACGATCTTTCAATGGCATCGACTGGTTTTGGTACATCGTCGAATCACTCTGGACCTTCTCAAATCTTCAGAGGACTCCTCTTCCTGCGCGACCTTTGCCCACCGATCATTCGGGCAAAACTTTCTGTACTTATATATACGCGGTGAAGTGGAATGTAGATTGAGCGAACGAAAGCTTTCATAAGGCGTGATATAAGATCGTTATGAATACAATTTAGCTCGAATAAGTACGAGAAGAACCAAACCAATCAATTTGTCATAATCATGATTAATTATTATTAATTATTATTATTATCGATTACTTATCATTGATAAGGTCTTTCGTGAGAAGTAAAGAACGGGACATTTTTGTTTTTGAACAAAAATATAGCTCAAACGTATCTGTACCCAGTTGCCATGTATTTTAATTTATTTAAATTCTTAAATAAATTTTATTGAAAAAAAGAAACCAACGCAAACACATCGAGTGCCCGTGTTTATTTCGCCTCTTTTCTATTCTACTTTCTTTTTCCTTTCATCTACTAAGTATATCTTCTCTTGAATAACATACATTTATAGCTATATTTTTCTTCAAAGGCAGTATTTCAAAGAAATTACGGAAGATCGTATAAATATTATATATTCTTGCTCAGACTCTATGACAGGCTTTTCCTTTACCACTTTTAAAATCTAAACTCATATCGAAATATGTCAAACATATCATATGTATATTGCAGGAATCTGCAACATATTTTCTCTCTTTCGCTCAATTTTTAACTTGATTCAGTTTGCATATTTTTGTAACGATATTCTTTTGAATTACATAATTTTCTTATTACACAAAATTATAAATATAATACAATATTTAGTATTATATTTAAATTATAAAGCTATTTTAAGTGAAATGGTATAAATTAGAAGGTTTTTGACAAACAATCGCACATCAAAAACCGCATATCAAATTTTTTTTTCATTTATAATTAGCTACAAAATGTTCATATTACTTGAACTGAATCTGCTTCAGTTGTATGATGTATGATATTGAAAAATATTTTAAAGACACAGGTGAACATGTACGCATGATATAAATGTAAAATAAAGATCTCTCTATGATTGCGAATCAGAATGCGATCATACAGTACTAAGTACTGTTAATACTCTGTAATATTTGATACAATACTAACATTATAAATATTTTAAAATATTTTATTTTCCAGTTAATGATACGAGAAGAATTGAAAAGATCATCCCAACGCTGATTTTTATAAACTGTAAACTTACGTATTTTCTAGATTGTAGACTTATCATAAAATCACTTTCGTTCTCGATCAGGATCTGTAGGCAAGCTGATCGGCAAGAACTCGCACAACCTCGCTCCACATTTAATTAATAATCATTAATCATGCTCCGTCGTTTTGGCGACGCTTTATAAAATTATATTTAACAAGGGAGAAGAGGGCGAAAAAGAGGAAGAGAGAACGTAACGATAAATGTACATTGCGATAAATTGCAGAAAGCCGCTCACAGATACTAATAAAATACACGATCACACATCTGTATTCGCGAAGGTAATCATGTAAAATAATAACGACAATAAATAGCTCGTAAGCCAGTCTAAGCTAGACACGTGTCGATAGTCGTAGATAGTCAAAATGAAGCTGAAGAGCGAAGAGGTCTACATAGGGGGTCGAAGTCGAAATTGTCGGCCATAGTGGCCCCTTCACACAGACCTTTGTACATGAAACGAAATAATTATGCTCTTATAATAATGATGTTATATTTTCAAGTACGTGCATATCAAGAATACCGGGCACCGCACTTTGGTATGAGTTGGTTGTAAACTGATTTCAATTTATTGATTACTGTTAAGCGTAAATATCAATGAGAATATAAGGAACTATTTGTTGCGGTCTAATTGTGTGTAAGGGTTCAGTTTTATTGGTACAACTGCGAATCGATATCATATCATATAAGGGTGTAACTATATTAGATATATAATATTGTATAATATGTAATAAAAAAAGATTAATGCGTAAGTGGGTTGTAGCCAGTTTGTGTGAATGGGCCTAGAGGATGTTGAAACCGATCTCTTCGACCCTACATGCGATTAAGAAGAATGATGCGATTATTAATATTAATGAAGTACGAGATGAATATAAATAACTAAACTGAATAAAAAAGAGAGAGAAAGAAATAAACGAAAGTGTGCAAGAGAGGGAGAGAAAGAATATGAGAGAGTGAACAAGTGTATCGATTGAGAAAGAAAAAAATATGTAATTATATCATTAGTAATATTATTATCACTAATATAATAAATGTGCCATTTTTTCCATAATCACAGTGTCGCTTGACATGGATCCTTGACATGTGATTCGTCAAACGTTTCTTTCTTTTTCTCTGATATAATTTATAATATACGCGTTATTTTTGCCATTTGCTTTTTTCTTTCTCATTCGTTATTTTATTTGTATATTATACTCTCAGTATTTTAGATAATATTTACATTACGTTTTACGTTTTTGCTCCTATGATATGCATACTGATTTAAGTTTCAATTGTATTTCATTATATACAGAATAACGATTAGCTATATTTATGTATGCACAATATGTA